CCAGCACTGCTGGCAACTGTCAGCAGACCCGGCATCGCCAGCCCACGCCGACAAGGAGCCGGCGCTGCCCGGGGGTCCGCCTGGGGCAGCGGACCCATGGAGGCCGGGCGCATGCTGACGGTCACCCGGGTACTGCTCCAACGGTGAAGCAAAACAGTCCTCAGGCCTCACTGTCCTCAGCGGGCGCAGCGGTAGCCGAGACCGAGATTGCCATTGATGGTGTCGACGACGCCGCCGCCGCGTGAGTGAGTGAGTGCCCAAGGACTCAGGGCCCCGTCACCAGGGGGGAGCACTAAAATATACTCACGAGTCAGTACTAGTTATATTAGTTAAGTTAAAGATTATCCTGGTACACTTGACATGTCTTCATAACGGCTGTCAAATTTGACGTGACGAAGCAATCGAATGAAGGAGAAGGGAGGAGTGTGGGAGGGAGAGAGCACGCGAGGATGGTAAGGTGAAGAGAAGAGAGAGATGAGAGGTTAAAGCTCGAGCAAGGATTGAGAGGGAGGAGGAGAAGGTTGTAGAAAGAACAGGAGCACGGTCTTTACTGGAAGGTTGTAGAAAGAACAGGAGCACGGTCTTTAGAGGCGAGGGAGCGTTGGATGACGAAGTTTGCAGGTTGAAGGAGGCGAGCGGGAGGCGAGGGTTGGATGGAGTTGGACTGGAGCTACAAGCCCATGCTGGAGGAGACACTGGCGAGTCTGAGCGAGCGACAGGAGAGGCTTGTTCAGAGGATAACGGGGATCAGAGAGCAGAACCCCCGAGAGTGCAGCCCGTCGCCCTCCTCCCTCACCGAGAGAGAGCAGGAGGGAGGAAGCAGCTTCACGCTTGCTAGTCAAAGGGGGCAGGAGGGAGGAAGCAGCTTGTATGCTCCAAGATCGGCACAGGCTGTACTGCGAGCGCTGGAGGAGAATCAGAGTCTGCGAGAGAAGTTAGAAGAGAGCCAAGAGGTTCTCAAGCAGACGCAAGACAAGTTGAGGAAGCAAACGGTGACGAGCAGGCGATGCTGAAGCGAACCTAACTCCTTGTTTCCTCTTCCCCTCCTCTACTCCCTTCATCGCTTCTCCTCCTTCGCTTCCTCCCCCATCCTTCCCCCTCCTCTTGTTGTGCTCCTCTGCTGTCAGGTAGCGCTGTCCCTGCTCAAAGAAGAGCACGCGAGTCTCCAGGCTGCGCATGAGGCTCAAGTCGTTTCCCTACGAGAAGAGGTGAACCTGCTGGAGCCTCTCCTCTCCTCTCCTCTCCTCTCCTCTCCTCTCCTCTCTTCTCCTCTCTTCTCCTCTCTTCTCCTCTCCTTTCCTCTTGACTTTCCTGTGACTCCCCTCCCCTCCGATCCGCTCTGCTCTGCTCTGTGTTCTGATTATACATTCAAACTGTCCCTTTCCCTTGTTCCTCTTGTCCTGTCTTTAAACGCTCTCTTTCTTGTCAGATTGATCGCCTGAATGGACGAGCAGCGGAAGGGCGAGCTAAGGTGATCCGCTCCCCCTGCTCCCGCTGCTCTTCTTACTCACCTCTGCCTCTCCTCCCGCTCATTCTGTTCATGCAGGCTGACAGTGGTGAGGAATGCGAAGACGGCAAAGGACGAGAGAAGAGAAGAGAAGAGAAGAGGAGAGGAGAGGAGAGGAGAGGAGAGGAGAGGAGAGGAGAGGAGAGAAGAGGAGGGGAGGAGAGGAGGAAGTAGGAGAAGAGAGAAGTAGAGGACGAGCCATAGAAGGAGATAGCATATCTGAGATAATTTCACAAGTTCGGTACCGCATACATTCACCTGGGATAAACACGAAAGAAGTTAGAACAGCTGCAACAACTGAAACCAGAGGAGTAGGAGAAGTAGGAGGAGAGTAGAAGTAGGAAGAGGGGAGGAGGAGGAGGAGGAGGAGGAGGAGGAGGAGGAGGAGGTGAGTTGTTTTGGGCAGGGCTCAGGAAGGAGAGAGAGGGAGTGCGGGGCTACAGCAGATCTCGTTGTCTCCTCTACACGATGAGGACTCGGTCGCTTCCCCCCCTCTTTCTCTCACCCCAGCAGGCGAAGACCTCAAGCTCGCCTACGAACAAGAAAAACTTCTAAAACGAATCCGACAGGTGCCTCTCCTGCCCTTCCTCCTCGCTCCGCGTCGCTTGCTCTTGACATCCGAATGGTCTGCAGCTTCAGGCTCAGCTGCAAGCGTCGCAGAAGGAGAGGATACGAGAGACGGAGAGGTACAAGAGGGAGATGGAGCAAGAGGTAAACCAACTTCTCACCTCCTCGTCTGCTTCCTCTACAAGCTTGTCCTCGTCCTCGTCCTTTCCTCAATCACTTCTTCTTTTCTGCTTCTTCTCTGCTTCTGTTCTTCTGTTCTTCTGTTCTTCTCTTCTTCTTTTCCTACTTCCCTGCACTCCCTCGCTGCTTCTCGAAATGAATGGGAGCAGGCCGACAAGCAGAAAAGGCTCAAGGAAATCCTCATGTCAGGTGACTCTCCCGCCCTCCACCTCGCTCATGTCTTTTTTCTTTTCTTTTCTTTTCTTTTCTTGTCTTGTCTTGTGTTTTGTTGTCTTATCTTCCCATTTCAGCCATCAAGTTGCTCACGGATCAACGAGATTCTCTTCTGACTGATCTCAACGACATCAAACAAGTCAGCCAAACCAACATGATGATCTTGCTGGTGGTGGTGGTGGTGGTGGTGGTGCTTCCTCTATCTATTGGTTCAGTACTCGCCTTGTTTGAGAGCTTTGTTACAACCTCAGGAACGATCCTCCCTGCTGCTCGAGCTCCAACATCTCAAGTCTCGCAACAACGACTTCGTTTCCCAGCTCTCGTCTGCCTCCTCCCTCCTCCAAGACTATCGCCAGACCTCTCAGGTCCTCGTCCTCGTCCTCCTCGTCCTCCTCCTTCTCGCCCTCTCCTCCCCTCATCCTCTCCCCCTTTCCCTCTCCCCCCTCTCTCTCTCTCTCTCCTCCTCCTCCTCCTCCTCCTCCTCCTCCTCCTCCTGTCTCATCGTCTCATAGAACAAGATTCTTAAGCTGCAGGAGGAGGT